AGGGTTTGGTCCAGATACTTATAAAAATACAAAGTGGCATGAACAGGGATGTCATGCCAAGTCCATCTTCACAGAAGACATGTGACTGATCCTCCCCCCGGAGGGAAAGGTGCTGCCTTGGGGAAGAGGTGCCAGGGTGGTGGATGCAGATGGCAAGCCTGGCCCTCTTCCTCACCCTGGCCGGTCATCCACCTGTCTGTCGCTGGGGGCTTGGGCTCTGGCCCCCTGCAGGTTCAAGGATGCAGTGCCACCAAGTCCTGTGTTCCTGGGGGCCGGGGTGGCGCAGACCATGGCAGGCTATCCCACGCTCCTCTTCACACAGGGCCAGCACCCGGCCGGGGTCCGCAGGCCCCTGCCCTCCAAGGTCCTCTCACAGGGTTCCAGGGGCCACTGGACCGAGTTTAGGGGCAGCGCCCCCTGCAGGGCATCCGGGGAGGGCTCAGAGAGCTCGCAGGAGCCTCAAGATGGGAAATAGCAGCAGCAGCAGCACACAGAGGGGGCTGGGGGCGCCTCCCCCTCGCCACCCGGATGTGCCGCTCTCTCCGGGGCTCCCCACAGGATGGGCCGACTCGGACTCTGTGAAGGGCAGGGTGGGCATTGGTGGGGGCCCCAGCTTCTGCCTGCCACCCTCTGAGCTCATCACTCTCCAAAATCAGCCGTCCCTTCCCCTCACCTACCTCCTAATCCAACTTCCAAGGCTCCCCCCAAACTGCCACGGCTGGCCACCCGCTCAGGGGAGGCCTGGACGGGCCTTGCCCCCCCACCTCGAGACGCCAGCCACCCAGGCCCGAAGCTGGATGAGGGAGCCCCTCCTGAACTCAGAGTCTCATGCTCCCCCCTCCCTCATTACCAACAGCCCCCCAGACCAGCAGGGGTTCCGAGCACCCCGCATACTTACTGCTCTCCTTGCAACAGACAGACACCTGCAGCCTCAGGCACTGGCCGGGACTCTCTGGAGTGGGCACCGCTGGGCGGGGGGCGGGGAGAAGTGAGCACAGTGTGAGCTGCCCACCCCAACCCCCAGCATTGCCGCTCTCCTCCAGAGCTGTGCCCCGGGATCAGGCCCCATTCTTGCCCCTCCTCCTCTCCTGGGCCCCCTTCCCAAGCCCTCTTCCTTCTAGAAGGCCCTGTCAATCCTGGGCCAGCCCCCTCCCGGCCCTCTCTTCCTCCACCTCGGCCCTGAGAGTGCCCCCATCCACTCACAGATGTAGTAGTACGTGTCTCCAGGCAAGAACTCGAAGCCGAGCGAGAAGGGCGTGAAGCGCTGGATCTTCTCTGAGAAGCGGACGGGGCCCAAGGGGGCGAAGGGCCGAGAGCATTCCCAGCGCTTGAAGGCCCGGGGCCCCTCGGCCCGGCAGGCCTGGTAACCCTGCCAGTCCACCATGTACAGCGCAAAGCTCTCGGGGCCTCCTGGCGGGCCCGGGCCCTCGTAGTGGGGGCAGAAGATGTCTAGGTAATCGTTGAGGCCCAGCTCCACCACCGCATCACCTCGAAGCAAGCTGTGGGTGTGGGGAAGGAGGCAGGGGCTCAGGGAGGAGGGTGGCACAGGCCCCCCAGGGCCATCAGGTCCCGGCCAGCACCCCCAACCCTCACCCGGGAGGGGGCTGCTCCGCAAGGCCCAGGTTCCCAGGAGTCGCAGCTCTGGGCAAGGAACGAGTGAAGGCCTCACCAGCTCAGAGAGGCTGAGGGGCTGCGTGTCTCCAAGGGGAGAAAGCCGTGCCCACCCTGCCCTTCCCGCCCGAGCTGCCACCCACCTCTCCATCCCCAGCGCCCCCAGTGGGCGTGGCCTGGCACCTGCATCTGAGAAACGGAGGGTGCTGTGAAGGAGCAGAGGGACAGATGTGAAAGTGTGGACTGGGTGCAGGGTGCAGGCACAGCCAGAGCCAGCCAGGGCAGCAGCACCCGAGACATGGAGGACCAGGCTTCCCTTGATGCACTCACTGACCTACTGCTTGGATCTGGGGTCACACCAGTGGTGCTCAGAGCTTACTCTGGCTGTGTCCAGGGATCACTCCTAGAGATGCTTGGGGGGCCATATGGGATGCCAGGGATCGAATCCGAGTCAGCCAGGAGCAAGGAAAGCGCCCTACCTGCTGTCCTATCGCTCCAGCCTCTGCTAGAAAGAACCCCAGGGTCAGGCCAGAGGAGAGGCAAGGGGGTGCTTCCACTCCCCCCCAGGGCAAGGACATGCCAGAGGAGTGTGGGTCATCCGACTGTCATCCAACCCTCAGCCCGAGCACCGAGGGACACCGAGCAGAATGGGAGGCTGGCCACGCTGTGCCCCCATCATTCCTCCCTCCATCAGCTTCCGGGGACCCGCTTCCCCAGGCCCACTACACACAGAACCCCACCGGACTAAACCAAACCTCCAACTGCCTCTCAATGAGTAACCCCAGGACCACCGTGCAGCAGGTGGCTGGATTAGAAATGCAGATTCCTGGGCTCAGGGCCCCAGACAACACAAGCTAGATCTTGGCACAAGTGTGTGCAAGGCCCCCGGTGTCTGGAAGGGGTCCTGCACCAGGTCCTTCTCCACCCAAAATTTCGTGGGTCCAATCGAAGAACCAGAAACCTTAGGGTGAGTGGCTGGGGGGCAGGGACTGGAATCTTGAACGTTCTTCCAAGCGATTCAGGGGCACTGGGCTGGAACAGGGAGAGGAATTCCCACTGCAGGACAATAGCACTTATGACAGTGCATTGGTATTATAATGACCCGGGCAGAGATCTGCCCTGGAAAGGGGGGTCAGCTCCCAGAGGGCAGAGTCTAGCTGGTTATCTCTGGAATCCCCTAAACACAGGCCCGGGCACCACACAGGATGAGTAAAATGTTAGCGAGCTAACACACGTCAGAGGCGCAGATTGTCTCAAGTAGGAAAATCAGAAAGGAAAACAGATGGAGAAAACAGAGAGGCAGGGAGAAACCAGGAGGAGGATGGAAGCAAGCAGCAGAAAAACACCGAGGTTCAAAAGCAGGGAAAGAAATCAGAGCTGGCTTCTGCAGAGAGTGCCTCGAACACTCAGGGCAGCCGGCCTGCTTTCCCAGGGGTCCGGGTGTTATTAGCCCATTGTACAGATGAGATAACTGAGGTCAGGGAGGTCAAACAAGTCGCCCAAAGGTGAATCAGCCAGGAGGGCAGGCTGAGACGAGACGGAGCCAGAGGGCCCCAGAGAACTCCCGAAGGAGGTGGGCAGCCTCGCGGGACCGGCCCAGGTCGCGGCGCCACCACCCGCGCTCCCGAAGCCCCTTCCCTCCCTCCGTCCCAAGTCCGCCCGCCCCAGCGAGCCGGGAAGCGCCCCCCAAAAAGCGGCGCGGGGGACGGGCGGCGGGGGGCGGGGCTCGGAGCGCGGGCCAGGACCCCCCCCCCCCGCCCCGCGCCCGGCTCCCGGACTCCAGCCCCCGCGCTCGGGGCGCGAGTGCTCCGCCGCGCCCACACGTGCGGGAGGAGTGGGGGGCGCCCCGCACGCGCCGCGCCCCTCCCCCGCCCCTCCCCCGCCGACTCAGACAAAGGAGTCCCGGCGCGCGGCCCGGCGCGGGCAGCGGCGCGCACGGAGCGGGGCCGGCGGCGCGCCCGGCCCGAGAGCGCGCGGGCCCGGCCGGCGGCGCCCGGGGTTCGGCCCGGCTACCTGGGGTTACTGGAGTTCCAGTAGAGGGGATGGCGAAGGCCCGAGCCCCCGCGGAGAGGGGAGCAGAGGAGCGCGGCCCAGAGGAGCGTCCGCAGCAGGGGCAGCAGCCGCATCGCCCCCCGGGCTCCGGTCCGCTCCGGTCCGGCCCGCCCCGGCCCGCTTCGCAGTGGCGGCGAGAAAGGTACAAAGTGGAAGGTGGTGGGGTGGGGGGGTGCTCCGAAAAGGGGGGTGGGGTGCGGAGACTCGCGGGCCACGCCCCGGGATAACTTTCCACCAATGGGGGCGTGGCTCCGCCCCCCTGCTCCCCGCCGAGTCGCCTTAACCCTCGGCGCGCCACCTCGTAGGCGCCGGCTCGGCCCGGCCGGGCCAGCGGGAGCCGGGGAGGTCCCGCCGGCCGCTAGGAAGTGCTTCCAGGAAGGCTGAGTCTTTCGTGGCTGCCTTGGGACGCGGAGGAGAGCCTCGTTAGAAGTTTGGAGGGTTTGGGGCCAAAGAGATAGTACAGCGGGGAGGGTGTTGGCCTTGCCCGGGGCCGACCCGGATTCAGTCTTCAGCATCCCCTAGGGTCCCCTGAGCACCGCCAGGGGTAACCCGAGCATCGCCGGGTGTGGCCCAAAAACCATTAAAAAAAAAAGTTCCGGAGGATTTCTCTAGGAGCACACGCCCTTTACCCCAAGAGGAAAGTGAGGCACGGACGAGGACCGGCCACATTTTTCTTTGCACATCTAGGGGTAGCGCCAGGGGAAGGGACAGATCGCTTCCTGGGACTGCCCGCCCCACTTGACACACGCACGCTTCATTTTCACTGGCCAGCTCCATGCCCACCTCGGGGTTGGCGCGGGTCCCTTCTCTTGCCCACACCTTGGTTCTGGGCTCCCAGTCCTGAAGACGAGGTAATAAGGTGGTTGCGGCCTGTACAAAGCACCTTTGTTCCCCAGCCCTCAGGTGGGGGCGGAGGAGGGGGAGGAGGCAGGTGTGCGGCCTTGGGATCGTGGGAGCCGCCGCCGCCCCTCTCCGCCCTGGCTCCGGGGCTCCGGGAACAGGGGCCAGACAGACCCACGTTTCCCGGACACTGTCGCAGTGGGGGATGGGGGGGCAGCGGCTGCATCAACTGGGCCGGGGGTGACCATCATCCCCCGAGTTGGAGCCGAGGACCAGCCTGCTGAGGGTGGTAAAGGGCGTGCAGCTCCACGTAGCTCTGGACTGCACGGAGGGCCACCCGGGGCTGGGCAGGAGCAAGCCGCGAGCAGCAGGCCGACACGCGCTGACCCCAGCCGGGAATCGCCCTCCCGCTCCGTCTACCTCCGAGGCGGCAGCGTCCCCTGGCGGCCAGACCTGGAACCGCAACCGGGGCGACCCGGACAAACTCCAAGACGCTGTTCCCAGTTCTCACTTTTATTGCGACCGTCCTCTAGAAACAAGCGGTGCACGTCTCCCCCAGCCCCGGCCAGCGCCCAGCCCCTCCCCAACTTCAGTCTGCAGCTGCTAGGCGGATCCCCAGGGTGATGCTCTAGAGCTCCTGAAGGTGCCCGGGGTCGCGGGACGCCAGCTCCATCGCGGCTGGGCTCCTTCAGTCATCGCGGGTGGGGGGACCCCAGGGGTGGGGGGCGGTCGGCCTCTAGATGTCCTAAGTCACGGCAGAGGCAGCGGAGCCCCAGGAGAGGTTAGAGGTAGAGCGAGGACGCTGCAGGGGGCGGCGGCGCAGGCCTGCGGTGAGGGAGGCCAGAGTTGGTGGAGGGCTCCTTTGCCTGCCCATCCACCCTCAGCCCCCTTCTCCACCTACCTGGAGGGGACCACTGAAGGCGGAAATCCAGCTTCTGGGCTGGGTGCGTCCCCTGAAGGGCGCCTGCCCTGGGGGTCGGTGGGCAGTGCCTTCCGTGGGGGTGGGGGCTTGGCGGGCCCCAGAGACTGAGAGAGAGAAGGCAGGGGGGTCGCTTGGGAGGGCGTCACACTGCCCCTTCCCATGCCCCAGTGCTGGGGAACACCAGCTGGGTCAGGGGCAGCATCAGTGGTCACCTCTGTCTCCAAACAAACCTGTCACCACTAAAGAAGCCACTGGGGCACCGAAGGGACATCTCACCATGGCCACCACCGCCACGGCCACCACCGCCACGGCCACCAGCACAACAGCCCTAGGTGGGGGAGGAGGCTGTGCCCTTCTCTTTCCCACACTGTTACCTTGGGGCGCCTCACCACTGGGTCAGCGGGCAGAGGGCGGTTAGGGGGATTGGGTCGATCCGCCAGCTCAGCCTGGACAGAGAGAGGGGCAGTGGCTTGTGAGAGCACCGCCAGGGGCAGTGGCATGCAGAGGTTCTCCCCTGGGGTTTAAGTCGACATGCAGAGTCAGCCAGAGGGTAGGAGTGAAACGGACATGCGCACAGGGCTGGGGTGCATGCCAGCAGATATCCTGGGGGGCTGGAGGGGCAAGGGGTGGGGTGGGGAAGGTATGGGTCCTCGTGGTGTCCCTGGATGGCTGCAGTCCCGCCGCTGACCACCAGGTGGTGGTAGAAACCAAGGCAGGAGGCTCACCCTTTGCTGCATCTGGGGCTCAGAGTGTCTGAAGGCGGAGGGGCACCCTGGTCCCCGAATGAAGAGCACCGCTGGCAGGGAACAGGGATGAGAGCTGAGGCTTGGCGCCAAGCTTCCCACCTGCCCTGGGCCAGATTTACCTGGAGTCTCTTGCGTACAGGGTCAGGAGGCAGCGGCCTGGAGGGGGCGGCCGGGAAGCCGCCAGCGCTTGCCTGCGAGAGAGGCAGAGTGGACAGGCGCGGCAGCAGGAGCAGAGACAGATGTGGACAGAAGGGGTTAGTGGTTAGTGCCAGAGGGGTGCTGGGCTGGGGCAGGGGCCGGTGCATGCGGTTATCCAGTTGCATTCAGAGGGCTGACCTGTGTCGATGGGGTTTGGGGCAGGTGCACTCACCTACCCTTCTTCCTACACGTGGTGACCTGGGCCTTGGTGGGTCCTGGTACACCCAAGGCGGTTCTGAGTGCCACCAACCATCCCTGGCCCTGTGGGGCCACTGCTTGGAGCCCAGGCCACCCCCCACCCCAGAGAGTTCCACGCATCTTCCTGTGGGTGGTGGCCCCACCCCCTGCTTGTCCACTCTGTGTCTGGGCCTGTGGCTGGGTCAGGGGGAGTCCAGGGGGAGGCTGGCCTCACTCCTTGGGTGCTGGAATCTCTGAGCCTAGGGCCATCCGTCCGTTCGCCTGGACTCCTGGTCTGGAGGGGGTATGGGTGGGGGGCCCTCCACTGGCATCCCAGCTCACCTTGGCACCTGGCGTCAGCAAGGTCCTCTGCGGGGGTCCTGGGCGTTCTGGGGGGATGGGCTGGGCTGCCCTGAGCATGGAGAAGGGCCAGCTCAGCCCCATGCTCTCTCACCCTCCAGCGGCCCGTCTTGGAGCAGGGCTGGTGGCTGGCTTGGGCCAGACCAGCAGGCTGGAAGTTGACAGCCCTGGGGAGGACCACCCTTAGCCAGCCCGGGGCTTTCTGGGAACAGGGGACTTGCATGCTTCCTGGGGTACAGGTAGGGAATGGAGACCTGTGGTGTGGGGGGTCAGGATCAGGGCACAGGGGCTGCAGGGCTGGGACAGAGCTGTTGAGGGAGCCGGTACCTGTATTGGCAGCTGGGCCCCTTGAGCTGGCAGAGCCTCTGGCGGAGGCGGGCACGGTGCCAGTAGCTGGCACCAAGGAGCACCAGGACCAGCAGTAGCAGGAGGCTGAGGAGCAGCCCGGTGGTCAGGGAGCTGGTTGCTATGGGTGAGGGATGGTCCAGAGATGAGCAGGGAGGCCTGGGATAGGGCTTGGGGGCAGAGCACCTGCCGGCAGGTGGGGAGCCCTGAGTTTGATCCCTGGAATTGGCCCACATGGCTTAATGCTCTCCCTGGCGCCAGAGCCATGGCCTGGGCACGCGGCCACTACCGCAGACAACAGCCAGAGGAAGAGAAAGGAGGCAGGAAGGGGAACCAAGGGGCTGGAGCACAGACTTGGAGGGAGCCCCAGGTTTGAGCCCTGACACTGCATGCTCCTGAGCACTGCTGGCAAGGCCAAAAACATATTACAAAATAAAATATGCAGGCGGGGAGGAAAGGGGAAGGGCGGAAAACAAAGGTGAAGAGGAGGGCTGAGAGCCCTCTACCCAAAATGGGGCGGGGGGGGGCAGACAGGGAAGATCACGTGACTGAGTACAGGGCACTTAGGATTTGATCCTTGGTGCCACACAGGCCCCCTCTGCTGCTGGGCGTGGCTCTGGAGGAGCCCGACAATGCTGGGTGGCCCCGGCACCCCAGGACTGCAGACCTGAGCAGCCCCTCACACAGACGCGAGCACCAAGCCCCCAGCCTGGTTTATTGAGCGTCACTGGGCAGAGCCCCCAGACTCCCTCAGCACTATTTGGGAGGCCCCTCCCCCACAAAAATATATATATCTTTACTTCTGGTTTGATTTTGGGGCTATACCAAGCAGTGTTCAGGGCTCACTCCTGGTTCTGTGCTCAGGAGTGCCTGGCAGGGCTCAGGGATTCTATGTAGTGCCAGGGCTCAATCCCAGGTCCCCTCTGTGCAAGGCAAGGGCCCTACCCACTGTACTATGTCTCTGGCCCTTCAACTTCTTTATAATTAAGAAAAGGGGGAGGCACAGAAAGGACACCTCTGCTCTGGACAGCGCAGTCGGGGGGTGTCCAGCCCTCCTCGCAGTGACAGTTGCCATCGCTGTTGCAGACCTAGGAAGGAGGACAAGCAGTGAGGGGCCTGTCAGGCTGCGCACCAGCCCCCTGTTTTCCCAGACCGTGGATAGGCCATGCCTGAACTTTGGGGTGGCAGTCTCTATCCTGGCCAGGGCCAGCGGGTGCTGAGTGCCCTGCCCCGGGGATCCTGGCACTGGGGGTTTTCCCTGGCCAGCTTGAATCCCCACAGGATGAGGCCCCACCTAGCTGTGCCTATCTGAGAGTCGCAGAGACAGCTCAAAGAGGCTGGGTAAGTTTCCCCAAGTCACACAGCTAGAAAACGGTGGAGCAGGGCTTCAAGGTCAGGCCTGTTCTACGCCAAGTCCCCCCCCACACGCACACTTTCTGGGGTGGAGGTGGGGGATGCTCCCTGCATCCCTTCCATCTCTCAGGAGCCAGCTCACCCCATGCCCGTGGCATCTGCTGCGACATTTCTGTGCTCCCAGGAGGCCAGCGGGTTGGCACCGCTGCTCGATGCAGACCTTTTGGCAGGAAGGAAGAGCAGAGGTCACGCACCTCTAGGTGCTGGGAGCCCCCTGTCCAGAGGGAAATGCCCAGGTTTCCTTGCAGACCCCAAGTCTGTGCTTGAGGGTAAGATGTTGACCCTGCCCACCCAGACCCTTACAGGCTGCTCACCAGGCCAGGGCCGCAGGTGGTGCCCGGCAGCGCCAGGAGCGGCTGTGCCACGTCGCTGCCCAGGTCCAGGCGCATGCGGCTGCAGTTGAGCCGGGTGCCATTGGCGTTCAGGACCTCCCAGTGCAGCTCTGCAGCCGTCCCCAGGAAGGGCCGCGCGCCGCCCCCTTGGCACTGGAGCTGCCCGCAGATGACGTCACTGGGGCGAGAGGCGAGGTGGGGTCAGCGGGAGGGCGTGGAGACTGCCACTAGCCCTGGGAGAAGCCAGGGTCCCCCACGCACCTGGGCGCGCAGGCCACATAGCTGCCATTGGGGTGGCGCCCGCAGCTCCCAAACGCGTCACCCCGTGTGTTGGCTGCCCGCAGGCAGGGCAGCGCGGCGGGCCGGGCCCCCGGGCCCCAGAGCACCTGGCACTGCTGGGCGTAGGACGCACAGCGCCCCCGCATGCACACGGCTGTGCCGCCGGCGCACGGCTCGCCATCCCCCAGGCCCACATCTGCGGGGCACTGTGCGCTGTCTCCTGGGCAGAATTCCGGCAGGTCACAGTCCCCTCGGGCCGGGCGGCACTGCCAGCCAGCAGGGCGCAGCTGCGGGAGTTAGGTGAGAAAAGTGTGAGTGCCCCAGACGGCGGTGCCGCCCTTTTCCTCCCACTTGGAGCTGTGAGCTCAGGCCGAGGAGACCAGTATGCCCACCTGGAAGGGTTTTAAAGGAACGTGTGTGTGTTGAGGGGCCACACCCGACAGTGCCAGGGATGGAACCCAGTTCATAGAAAACAGCCGCCCACTGTCCTGTTCCCCCCGCCCACCTGGCAGTTCTGACAGCAGGGTTCCTGGGAGGCACACTGCGCCCCTGGCCGCAGCTGACAGGTGAAGTAGTCACAGCAGGGGTCATTGCAGTCCTGGGGGGCGCAAAGTGGTGGTGGGGGAGCTCAGACTGGGGCCCCTCCGCAACCCCACATCACAGCACCCCTGTCTGCAAGGGCTCAGGGCTGAGGCTGGGGGTGGGCGGGTGGGTGGGCTCACGTCAGGGAAGCCGCAGTCACACTGCTCCCCCGGCTCCACAAGCTGGTTTCCACACAGGCTGCCCAGGGCGCGCTGACCAGACGTCTGGTCAAAAAGACAGCTGCCCATGCCGGCCTGCAGGGCCCTCTCCAGCGCCTGGCGGCTGCAGTTGCTAAACTTCAGGCCCGGCAGGAAGCTTGAGTGGGGAGAGCGGCAGGAGGTCAGTGGTGCCCACCTGCTGCACCCCCGTTCCCCCTTCTCCACACCCAAGGTCACTCACTCTGTGGACGCCTCCATGATGCAGGTCTTGGCAGGGGCCGGGCCTGGACAGGGGCAGCTGTTCCCAGGCAAGTCATGGTCCAGGCCCAAGCTGTGGCCCAGCTCATGGGCGATGGAGGAGGCAACTCCCAGGATGCTGGTGGAATGGTCCTGTCAGTGGGGAGGGGGCACCCCAGCTCCAGCACCCGCCTGGCTGCTGCTCTCGCCTCCGTCCCCTCCAGGGCCTGCAGCCTCCGCCTCCCTCCTTAAATTCTTCTACCGGAGGCGAGCCCAGCCCTTGATGGCAGGGAGGTTCCCGTCTGTCCCCCTGACCCCCCACCTGGACCAGCAGATCAGCTCTGTCCTTTGAGCCTCAGCTGCACCCCACTCCCTGCCAGGAAATGGGCAGCGGGCAGGGAATGGTTCCAGGCTGAGCAAAGGAGGCCCGTGCTGCTGGAGGGTGTGTGCAGGGGCCCTGTTCGATCCCCGCCACCACAGGGTCCTCAGAGCACCAACACTGGAAATGACCATCTGCAGTGGTGAGCCAGGAGAAGCCCCTGAGCACAGCTGGGTATAACTCCCCCCCCCAAAAAAAAAAAACAGAAAAGAAAAGAAAGGGATGGGAAGAGCTCATGGTCACAGAAGAAGTGACACAGCACGGAGCCTGAGACAAAGGTCCCAGCATGCACCCAGCTTTGTTGGCCCCGAGATGCAGAGTCGGCTCACCATGTTGACGCCTCCCGAGAGCTCTGGGGAGCAGATGGAGTTCTGCACGGTGAGCCCCACGGACGGCCCAGAGAATACAGTTGCACTGGGGACCAAGAGGCAAAGGTCAGGGGCCATGGTCTGGAGGGCCCAAGCTCCAGGGCTCTGGCAGAGAGGGAAGGACTGTGGGATTGGGCCACTGAGCCCTGGGCCTTACGTCACCAGCTGGGCACTGTCGTGTGGTAGTCTGGGCAGCAAGTCTATCCGGCGCCAGCGCAGGAAGTTGTCGAGAGTGACCCCAGGGTCCTGGCTGATTTCCACCAGGTCGTGCTGGGTCCAGGCTTCCAGGCCCACGAGTGCCACCCGGACATTGAGGGGCCGGAAGAACTGAAAGGGAGTGGGATCAGGAGGGGCGCTCACGGCCGGGCTGGCCGGGGCTGAGTCCCCCACACTCACCGTATCCACGAACATCGCCACCTCGAGCGAGCGGTTCAGCAGCTGCTGGGAGTCCGGGTACCTCTGCACCTGAGGGTTGAGAGTAGGGAGAGTGACAGCGGGGGTCGTATGGGGTCAGGTGGGCTCAGGGCACTGCCCGTCAGCTCACCTCAGAATGATCGGCCACGATCACCAGCTCCACGGTTTTGGTCTCTGTCACCACATCTCGTTTCTGCAGTGGGCAAGAAGGACCTCACGAGGCTGGGCATAGCACAAGGCCCTGCTGCACCCCACATGCACCGACATCCATACCTGAGTTCCACTACCCAGTGCCCAAGTCCCAGACACACAGAAGCAGCAGCACAAGGAAAGGGAGGGAGGAAGGAAGGACAGAATCCGATGGAGCCGGAGGGGTGGGACAGCAGGGAAGCCTTGCACACTACCAACCCTGGTTTGGTCCCTAGCACTGCACAGGAACCCCCAACCGCCAAGCAGCACCAGGAGGGATCCCTGAGCACTGCTGGAAGTAGCCCAACTCCTCCCCAAACACCTATCCTAAATAAAAGAATTTAAATAAAATTAAAAGAAAATTTGAAAAATGTTTTTTTTTCTTTTTGGGTCACACCCAGCGATGCACAGGGGTTCCTCCTGGCTTTGCACTCAGGAATTACTACTGATGCTCGGGGGACCATATGGGATGATGGGAATTGAACCCTTGTTGGCTGCATGCAAGGCAAAGGCCCTACCTACCCACTGTGCTATTGCTCCAGCCCTTGAAAAATGTTTTGGGTAAATGAGTCAGGTACCCAGCCACACACTGTTCATTCAGTGCCCACTCCTGCCTGTGTGGCCACTAACTGTCCCCCAGCCTGTGTGGCCCACAGAGGAGGGTGTGGATCTTGTTTCACAGACGAACTACCAAGAGCAGTGCCCTGCTTTTCTGACTCCAAGTTCAGTGCGTTTTCCAAATTCTTAAAAGTACTGGGCCCACGTGATACAGCAGGCAGGGTATTTGTCTTGAATACAACCAAGCCAGGTTGATCCCCAGCACCCCAGATGGTCCCCCCACAAGCACTACCAGGAGTGATTCCTGAGTGCAGAGCCAAGAGCAGTCCCTGAGCATTGCCAGGTATGGCTCCCCCAACGAAAAAGTTCTACTTGGCTGGGGAGGTAGGAGATAGTACTGGGGATAAGATATTTGCCCTGCATGTGACTGACTCTGGTTCACTGGTTCACTACTTGGTGCTGTATCTGGTCCCTCAAGCACTGCCAGTCACTCCAGAGCACAGAGCCAGGAATAAATAACCTTGAGTACTAGACTCAAGGCGGTGACTCAAACACATGCACATATACGCTAATAATACTTGGACCAGGGAGACAACTCAAAGGGCTGAGCATATGCTCTGAATGTGGAAAGTCTAGGTTTGAATCCCAGCACCCCATGGACCCTGGAAACTGCTGAGAGTGACCCTCCAAGTTGCCAGGTTACTGACCATATATGTCAGGCCCAGATCTCAGGATTTCACTCACATACTGTTGCATTCAGTCTTCACAGCACCCTACAAACTAACTGGTCTCCCTCCCCATTACACTTTAGGAAAGTGGGTGTTAGGACCTGCTGCTTACAGCTCTGTATTCTATGTGCTCATGTGTGTGTTCTCTGCTTATAGGGTCACAGGTAGAGGAGAAGGTTCACTCAAGTACCTGCATCTGAGCCCTGAGATATACCACGTATTAGTGGAAAGACCTTGGGCAAGTTATTTAACTTCTTTGACCCTACTCACTTAAAAATAGAGCTGGGGCTGGCAAGAGGACAGAAGTTTGGGCCTTACATGCAGCTGAGGCCAGTTTGATCTCTGGTATTGCTGGGGATCCCCAGAAATTTCCCTTGAGCACAGAGCCAAGGTAGTTAACCCTGAGCACTGTTGGGTGTAACTGAAGAGACAAAAGGGGGGAGGGATAGAGCTATCGGGGGTCAGAGAGATGGCCCAATGGGCTAAGTACAGACTTCACATGCAGGAGATGTGAGCTTGATCCCTGACACAGAGCCTGGAGTAACCCCTGTGCAGGGCCAGGTATGGCCCAGAAACAAACAAACAAACAAATAACAGCTATTGAAAGGCCAAGGGTATGACTCAAGTGGTGGGGCACATGCTAGGCTCAGGGTTTGATAGTAATGACAGTGACTTAAGGAGATACAGGACAGTGGGGAAGGCACTCGCCTGTGTGTGGACAACCTTGGTTCCATCCCCAGCGATTCCTAGGGTCCCCCGAGCCAGGAGTGATCCCTGAGCACACAGCCCTGGGGGTACCCTGAGCACTGCCAGCTGCTGAGGGCCCTCTCCTTCCCAGGGGGCCTGGGTGAGTCAAGCCCCACACATGCCTCGTGTGGGCAGGTGCTCCCTGTGTGGGAGGCTCTGAGGGGTGCCCACCAGTCCTGCCATCCGTTCTCACCCGGCGGCCACGGCGTTGTCTGCTGGGGGGCTCTGTTGGAACGTGGCCGGGCACAGGCCCCTGCCTGTTCCAGATGCAGGTGTGGCGTGGTAGCAGAGAGCCACGGATCCGAGAGATGCGGGGAGAAGCTGCCCGGTCCCCGTGTCCCAGCTCCAGGGCATAGCTTCTCTCTGGGGTCAGGACCACCACACCCCTAGGAAGGGGGCAGCAGGTGAGAGTGCTGTGCTCCCTGCCACCCACCCCTGTATTCTCCCCGCTGCCTGGGGTCCCCCGTACCGGAGCCCGGAGCAGGTGCAGATGGATGCCCAGGAGTGCACGTGGCCTCGCACCCGGCCCTGGAAGCAGCAGCTCCCCTGGAGCACAGGACGGCAGAGCCTGAGCCGCTCCCAGCAACTGGTGGGTGGGAGCAGCCAGCCCCCTCCCTGCCTCCTGCCCGCAGGCCAGACCCACATAAGGGGCTTGGGCTCACCAAACTGTGTCCCTCACTGATCACCCGGGTGCCATCAGGCTGGTACCACACCAGGGTTGGGCGGCCGGGGACCAGCTCCCTGCAGGTGAAGAGAAAGAGCGTGGTCGCAGGTGCCTCCGGGCGGGAGAGCTTGGGGTGGACGAGGGCGGGGGAAGCCTCAGCCTTCCTGTTCCCCTCACCGAGGCAGCAGGGCAGAGTGCTCGGGCCATAAGCTCTCGCCAGGCTCTCTGGGTTCTCTGTGGTTCCCCCTGTACTAGCTGTACTGCCATGCGGAGGCAGTTTGACCTCTCCACCCTGACGGTGAGGCCGGGGCCCTCCAGTGCGAGCTCAACAGGCTAAGCATAGGTTTCGTGTGCGGGTTGCTCGGTTTCTATCCCTGACCCTCAGCACTGCGTGGGCCCCCGAAAGCACCACCCAGACTGATCCCCAGCACTAAGCCAGGCCCAGCCCCCGAACTCTGGCAGATGTGACTCCCCCCCAAGTCTAAATAAATCACATCGCAATAAGGACACTGCGGATCTAGTTCCTGAGGATGAAGGGAGCTAGCGTAAACCCAGTGGCCCCACCATTCCCTCACCTGCTTGGCAACAGCTCCAGGACATGACTCTCCCCTTCAAGCTCCAGTTTGATCTGCAAGGCCTCAGGCGGGTGTGTCTGTGGCATCCGAGGACATGTCAGCTCCCCTGGCCCTGCCGGAAGGCCCTCTCCCCTCCCAGGCTCTCTAGAGAGCACCAGCGATGGATGAGCTCACTGGGGGAGGGGGGGTCCCAAGGGAGGGGCCCGGAAGCCCTGCCTGGCCTGGGGCATTGTTCTGGGGGGTTGTTCAAGGAGGCCAAGGAAGGTTTCTGAGCCGCCCCCTTCTCGGCTTCCTGCCCAGAGAGGAAGCTCATGGAGGACCCAGGGAGACTCCAGCCCTTCCTCTGACTCAGCATTAGAATTGGGGTGGGGGGATGGAGGGTGGGTACTGACCCTCTCTAAAAAGGACAGAGGAAGCAAGCCCCCGTCCCCCAGGGGAGAGGAGTAAGTAGGGTCAGGTGTTGGGGTGGGCCGGGAGAGCCTGTCAGCCCTGGACAGTTGCACTGCACTCCTCGTCAGGCTTTCTGAAAATGCCCCACTGAGGGGTGATTACCTCCAGCACCTCAGCTTGGCCGAACTCCGGGTGGTCCCCAAGGGAAAGGACCTCCACGGGTCCACTCCAGGCCCCCTCTGGCCTTGCCTGCTCCTCCTCCGTGCCACCTGCAGGATCCCCACGATATCCCAAGAAAGTGCTGAGACTGGGGACCTGCGCTCAGTATCAAGGTCTCTCTCCCCAGGACCCCCACAGTGCTTGCTCCCCTTGGAGGAACCCTCTCACCAATGTCTGTGGCTCCTCCAGGAGAGAAAAGTTCTGCTGGTCAACCCGGCCCCCTCCTAGCCCCTCGGACCAATCCCAGGTTCTTCCAGGGAACCTCCCCCTGCTCCTGCTGCCCCCCTCCCCCCCAGAACGCCTCCTCTCCACTGGGCAAGTCGCGTGGCGGGCCGCCGGCGCACCCTCCCCTGCCCTCCCATCCGAGACGTGGACACGCCCGTTTCTGGGTGAGCAGAGCAAACACCCCTGATGCCCGGGCAGACACACCCGCTCCCCACAGCCTCCGCTTCCTCTCCGGCCGCCCGCCCCCCACAATGGCCCTCTCTCCGCCCGCCGGACACGCCGCCCCCGCCCCGCTGCCCTCTCGGCCCCCGGCCCGAGACGGCAGCGGGAAGTGAAAGTTCCAAGCAGGAGCCGGGGTCCCAGCCTCTTTTCTGGCCGCCGTTCCCGGCTCCTCCCGGCCCCGCCCGCGCGGCCCGGTCCTGGCGGCATCAGCACCGGGACGAGTGCCGGCCTGGGCGGGGGGCGGTGACAATCCTCCGAGCCGCCCCGCGAGCGGGTGCCCCTCGGCCCTGGCACCCGACGGAGACCCAGCTAGGCCCCGGGAAGGCACAGACGTCAGCCCCGGGCGCACCAACCCCCACCCCCCGCGCCATCCGAGAAGGCGCCGGGCCGGCCCGGCCCCTCCGGCACCTGGCACGGGAGCTGAGAGTCCGCGGGGACCGCGCAGAGGGCGACAGGACGCGGGCCGCAGCATCCCCGTCTGCTCTCACCCCATCTCCCCGTGACCTGGCCCCCGCCCAGGGCGGACGGAGCTCTGGCGGCCGGCTCTCCCAGGCCGACCCGGGTACCCCGATGCCTGCCCACTTCCCAGTGCCTCCTCCCGGTTCTCCCCGGCCCACTCCCGGCCCGACACTCACCTATATTGGGGAGCGGCCGGGAAGGCAGTGGGCTGCCCGCGCCAAGGAGCCCCAGGGCCCAGAGCAGCGCCAGCCGCATGGCAGCGGAGCCCCGGGCCGGGCGAGGGCAGCAGGTGCGGAGCGTTGCTCGCTGGAGCGGTGGCTGCAGGGTCTGCCCAGCTCACCCAGCCGCGCGGTGCCGCCTCCGGGGCCGCCCCGCTGCCCAGGCCCCTCCCCGAGACCCCGCCCCTAAGAGCCTGGCTCTGCTCCGGGAGGCTCCGCCCCGCCCGACTCAGGCCCCGCCCCTAAGAGCCAGGCCCTGCTCCCAAGAGGCTCCACCCCGGCCGAGTCAGGCCCCGCCCTCCAGGAGGCCCCGCCCCCTAAGAGCCAGGCTCTGCTTCGGGAGGCTCCACCCGCCAGAGTCATGCCCGTCCCCTAAGAGCCAGGCTTTGCTCCAGGAAGCTCCGCCCCTCCCGGGTCAGGCCCCGCCCCCATACGGCCCCGCCCTCTAAGAACCAGGCTCTGCTCCGTCCCTCCTGAGTCAGGCCCCGCCCCGCCCCGCCCCGCAGTCAGGGACTACTCCCGGGTGTTCCCGCCCCTCCCAAGAATCAAGCCCCGCCCTCCTAGAGGCCCCGCCCCGCAACCGGGATCTCCTCTCGGGTGGCCCCGCCCTCTCCCCTCGAGGGTTCGGGGGCGGCAGGAGCCGCGTTACCTGCTACTACGCAGGGTGGGAGTCCAGGACCGGTCCGACCCGCTTGGGCACTACGTTCCTCCCGCTGGGCTAGGGCTCAGACCTAGCTCCTTCGCTGCCCTTGGCCTCACCGCCCGCGCCCAATTCTGCAGCTGGGATCGCCAGAGCAAGTGTATGCCAACTGCGGGCGGAGCAGCGCCGGGCTCACCCTCCCGTACTCAGGGCACCTGCGAAGCATGAGCAGCAGAAACGTTTTTTATCGGATAGGGAAGGCATTTTATCGGATAGGGAAAAGCAGGGTGCGAGAGCGAGTCCCTTCACTCCGCGTAGGTAGCGTCGTCATTGCTATCGCTGTAAGCGGAGGAAGAGAGCTCCTCTGGGGGTGTGCAGGCCGGGCACCGCTGCAGCATGTCGTCCCAGCAGGACCGACAGTACACGGCCTCGCATCCCGACGTTGGGCACACATAGGATTCGTGTGTCTCGGGTGCCTCGCACACCACGCAGTGCCGGCGCAGCCAGGGGCGCAGGAGTGGACAGCGGCGTTGCAACCAGTCGGCCAGGCGGCGGCGCTGTGGAGAAGCGAGGAGGGTTTGAGTTGGGGAGCGAGGCGGAAAGGGAAGGGTGTGGGGGAACTGGCAGCGCCTCTCAAGGCCTAACAATGCCACGTGTTGGATACAGCTGGGTTGGCCCAGGGTGCTATGGAAATAGATGGAGAGAGCTTTCCTTCCTCCTGGGTGATGGAGTGGCAAAAAATGCAGCTGGGAACCGCGCCCTGCCAGTTTGGAGGAGCAACAGAGATCACTTGCCTTTCCCCTAACTCCGTTCCTGGGAGGGAGCGACAGGAGCACACAGAGTGAACAATTAAATCCGTCGGGAAACAGGAATACCCTGATTCCACGAGGTTAAGCTATGTTCTCCCCACCCACCCCGACCCCCGCAAATTGCATGGCCACTAAATCACATCTTTGCTCAAAACTTTTACTCCAGAAAAAAAAAATTTTTTTTTCACCCCAGGGGCCAGAGCTATGATAGTACAGCAGGTAGGGCATTTGCCTTGGACATGGCTGACCTGGGTTTGCTCTCCGGCATCCCATATGGTCCTCTGTGCATCACCAAGAGTCATTCCTGACTGCAGAGTCAGGAGTAACCCCTGAGCATTGTCTGGTGTGGCTTAAAAACTGTAGCTCTGTAGCACTGTCCTTCTGTTGTTCATTTGCTCGAGTGGGCACTAGTAATATCTCCATTGTGAGACTTGTTGTTACTGTTTTTGGCATATCGAATATGCCACGGGGAGCTTGCCAGGCTCTGCCATGCGGGCAGGAGACTCAGTGGCTTGCCAGGTTCTCCGAGAGGGACGGAGGAATCGAACCCGTGTTGGCCGTGTGCAAGGAAAACGCCCTATCTGTTGCGCTATCGCTCCAGCCCAGCTCAAAAACACACACAAAAAACCAAAATGAAACAAAAATTTACCCCAGCGGCTGGAGCAATAGTGCTGCAGGTAGGGCACCTGCTGTGCATGCGGCCAAACTGGGTTCAATCCCTGGCATCGCACATGGTCTCCTGAGCATCACTAGGAGTAATTTCTTTCTTTTTTTTTTTAATTTTTATTAGTGAAACACCATGAGGTACAGTTGTAGACTTACAAATTTTTGTGCTTGGGTTTCAATTATACAATGTTCGGGTACCCATCCTTCCACCAGTGCCCATTTTCCACCACCACTGATCCTGGTATCCCCCCCACCGCCCACCCCCCACTAGTAGTAATTTCTAAACGCAGAGCTAGGAGCAACCTCTGAGCATTGTCAGGTGTGGTTTCCCCCCCAAAAAAAAACAAACAAAAATTTTTACCCCATAAGCCCAGGAGCTATTAGTGGGTAGGCCATCATGCAGCTGACCTGGGTTCAATCCCTGGCACCCCAGGATGTTGTGACTCAGGGGACCCTGCTAGGAGTGACCCCTGAGTGTATACAGCCAGGAATAAATGCTGAGCACTGCCCCCCAAAAAACAAACAAAAATTTACTCCAGGGATGGAGCAATAGTATAGCAGGTAGGGCATTTGCTTTGCACATGGCTGACCCAGGTTCAATCCTCAGCATCCCATATGATTCCTCATGCACTGCCAGGAATAATTCCTGAGTGCAATGCCAGGAGTAACCCCTGAGCACCACAGGGTGTGACCCATAAAAAGCCTCCCCCTAAAAATTGACCCAAGCAGAGGAGATAGCTCAAAGGACAGGAACAGGTGTCACATGTTTCCCCAAAGCATGGCAGGAGGTGGCCCCCTCAGCACTCTGCACAGTTCTGTACTCTCAGTTTGAAATAAATGCCCTTCACATTGCCACCTGCTCATCAAAATATAGGTCCATCCTGGCAACACCCTGATGGAGTGGTTCACTCCATTTCACAGGCAGGGAAAGTACAGGATTTCAGTCAGGCTCCGGATGGCAGCTCTCAGAGTTATAAGGGGAAGAGGCAGGGGTCAAACCCTCGCGCTGCCCCCACTCTGCACTGCTCTGATCATAGAGTGAGCCTTACGAACTAGGCCCTCCCCCACTCTTCAGAGGGAGAAATGGGTCCAAGAGAAGGGCGGCCAAGATCACAGGGCTTATGGGAGAGTATAGACTGGAACTTGCCTTTCCATTTGCCTGTGCCCTTTGAGGAGGCCCCCCCTGCCCCCCCCCACGACCCTCCTCTGAGCGAAGCTGAACACCTGCTCTGAGCCCCTCCAGTAAACCTGCCTTTTGGCCTGGATACTGCATTTCCAATGATCCCCTTTGGCTTGACTCCCCCTCCCCGCGCTGTGCTATTTACTTCTAGGCCACACCTGGCGGTGCTCAGGGCTCTGCACTCAGGAATTATTCCCAGCGGGGATCAGGGAGCCCTAGACGGTGCTGGGGGAGAGAACCCTGGTAAGCTATCTACCTGACAAGCGCCTTCCCCTCTGTCCTATCTCTCCAGCCTTGACTCCCGTTATCTGCTTCCTTCCTTGGGGATCCACTGTCTGTCTTAGGCTTGAATGGGATCTTGGGGTACAGAGGTGGTCACAAGCGAGACCCCCAAGAGCACGCATCACGCGCGCTGCCCGCCCGGAGCGCCAGCTGGCCTGGCCCGGGCCCGGTGTGGGGGAGCGCCGCCGGGGTGCAGGGCCGGGCGCTGAACTCACGGGGGCGCTCTGCTGCCGCGCGCGCCGCAGGACGGCGGCCCTTCGCAGCCGGGTGAAGGCCACTCGCTTCCGCAGCAGGTCGTTGTAGAGGAACAGCACCCGCTGCTTTTCTCGCTGGGGACGGAGAGACGAGGCGGCGGCCGTGAGCACGAGCGCCGCCGCCTCCAATCAGGCCGGGCGGCGGAGCACGCGTGTTCGCGTGCTCGCGTGCCCGCGTGCCCGCGTGCATGCGCACGGGAGCGGAAGGGGCCCCGGGGTCCGGTTGCACCTTGGGGAAATAGAAGGCGGCGATGACCCTCCGCAGCCGGTAGCCGAAAGCCTGGAGCAGGCAGAGGCTCACGAGCACGGCGACCGGGAGCACAGTCCTCATGTAGGCACCGGTGCTCAAGCTCACCGTCTGGGGCAGGCAGGCTGCAAGAGGGGTACATGGCTCAGGTCCAGGGCCTGGGGATGGGGGGGGGGGGTTGGGGTGTGGCCCGCTAGTGGTGTGGTTTAGGTCACCAACCTGCCCTCCCTCCTCCTCCTCACCACTCCCCTGTATTGTATAGCTGACCGCCCAATTCAGGTTTTTTTTGTTTTGTTTTGCTTTGTTTTGTTTTGTTTTGTTTTGTTTGGAGGGTCGGTGCTCATGATTTACTCATGGCAGGCTCATGGGATCTAACCCAGGTAGACTGCATACAACCCAAATGCCCTACCCACTGAACTACCGCTCCAGCCCTTCAAAATTCAGTTCTGTGCCTTTGCTTCTAGGTGTTTGGTTTGGAGGCCAAACGTGCAAATGGTGCTCAGGGGCTACTGCTTGTGGGGGTCGCTCAGTAATCACTCCCTAGGGGTGCTCAGGGGACCGTGCAGTGCTGGGGCCATAGTACAAAGCTCAGGTCTTGCCTTGCTGGCAGCTGAATCCAGTTTGGTCCCTGGCACCATGTGGTCCCTGAGCATCTTCAGGACTGAGTGCAGAGCCCAGAGCTGGGAGGAACCCCCTGAGCACCCCTGAGTATGGTGCAAACCCTCCCCCCAGTAAAGCTTGCTCCAGCTGGCCCACTGACCCACTCTCAATTCTGGGAGTACCAGGGCCCATGTGCCTTGTCTGCACGACATGGCACAGGGAGAGGAAACATCCATGCACGGAATTCTGGGGGCAGTGCTGCTCCCGAGGCTTGGGACTCTGTGGCCCAGGCCTCAGCCCCAGCCTGCTTGACCCAAACCTGCCACACCTCAGCTCATCAAACCCGATGCTGCCCCATTCCAGCCTGCCAGCCCTTCTCTCCTCCCTGAAAGGACCCACATCTCCCCCTCCCACTCCCTCACTCTCTGGATGCAAACTTTCT